GGCTCCTTACACTATCTTCATATTTTTGTTATCTTTTTTGTTTTTACTCTTCTGATTTGGGTATTTTTTGCTTCCTCATATTCCAAATTGTTGATTTGATTCTAGGAATCCTCTACTCTACTATTGAAACTGTGTAAACTATCTTTATTTCAGTTATTGTATACTTAATTTCTGACTGGTCCTTTTTCATGTCTTTGACATTCTCACTAAGATCCTTGAAAGTCTCATTAAGATCCTTGGGTAAACTTATCATTGTTTTGAACTCTGTATCCAGTAGTTTGCTTGCTTCTATTTCTTTAATTTGTGACATGTTTCTTTGTCTGTGCATTTTGACTTGCTTCTCTGTATTTGTTTCTATGTATTAGTTAAAGCTGCTATGTTGGTAGACTGGCCTATAAGGCCCAGTGACTTAGCCTCCCCAGTCACCTGAGCTAGATGCACCCCGGTGTGGTCTGTGTGCATAGTCATCTAGTTGAGCCTTGATTGCTGTTGATGTCACTGGGAGGAGTTGACTTTCAGGCCAATGGCTGTTTGGAACATCTGTGACTACAGTAGGAGAGCCGCTCTGCAGGAACACCACTATGGAGCAGGACTTGCTTCATTGGGGTTTTGGTGCTCACTGAGTTTGCCCCTTGAATATGTTGCTTATGGATGTGTAGAGTTGTATTCTGCTATGATCTGAATCTGTCCACCAAGTGCACTGGCTCTGGGACCTCCAGGGAGATGCAAAGTTAGCCACTGCCTAGGGCCACACTGTAGGAACTACAGAGGGACCTGCAGTTTGCTATTTGTATTGAGCTTGGAGGTGCCAGATAAATGACAAGGAGGCTGCTGGAATCCCTGGTGAAGCAAAGCAGGCTGATGCTAGCTGGGTCTTGAGCCTTTCTGATGGATTTGGGGCATGCTGTAACTTGTTGAGAGATTTCAGCAAAGTGTGAAGCCTGGGCCAGGACAGGCCATTTATATGGAAAAGCTGTTGCAAACAATTTGGGAGGGGCTGCAAATTGGATGGGGCAGGGTCTCAGGGAATCCTCAAGGTGGAGCAAACAATGTGCTCCAGGCTGATGGAGTCTCAGATATGCCTGCCAGTCAGCCCTGCAACAGGGGAGGTCAAAGCATAAGAACGATGCCCCCTGTCTGGGAGAAAGCTGTCCTCAAGTTCCTGCCCGAATGCCAGACAATCCAGTTCCTCTTGTATGTTTCTGGGTCTCCTGGTGCTGGAGGTCAGAAGTAGCCGGATTGTGTACATTTGAGCGCAGGCTCTTTAAGAGGAACACCAAGTATTCCAGCAGCCTCCTTGTCACTCAGCCACAATCCCCACTGGTTTTTACAGCCTATAGTTTCAGGGACTTTTCTTCCCAGCTCTGGAACCTTGTGCTGGTGGTCTGGTGTGCAACGAGGACCCTTTGCTTCTCACAGGCAGCATCTGTAGCAGAGATAACCTGATTAAAAAATAGCACATAAGAGAGAAACCAAGATGGCGGCATAAGGTAGACACCTAAACGCAGCCTACCACAACAAATTTGAATTTAGAATTGGAAAACGGGAAACATCGCCCTGAAGCACTAGACGGCTGGCTGAGAGGAGGCTCTGCCATCTGGGAAGGAGAGAGAAGGCACGCTGAACCTCAGGAGCTGTGAAGGTGCGCTGAGCCTCAGGAACTGTGAAGGTGTGGAGAACTGTGCACGCAAAAACGTGGCCACCAGACTTCGCTGCTGGCTTGCTTGTGGAGAGTGGAGAGGGCGGGCCGAGTTCACTACTGGCTTACTCCCTATGCGTAGAGAGGGCGGACAGCTGATGAGAGTGGCTAGCTTTCTTATTCGGCAGGAAAACAGAACCACCCTATTGCTCTGATAGTTGGCCTCAGACAGGGAGAGGCCAGACTGTCAGACAGTGGGCAGAGATCTCTCAGAGGTGTGTGAAGCCAGCGGTCATTACTGCGGGACTCAGAAACCAGACCCTTGTAGGGAGGGGCCAAATAAAGTTTGTTTGCACCCGAGACACCGCCCCATCCAAGCGGAGCACAGAAGCCCTTTCAGTGGCTAGCTTTCTCTCATAGGGAGGGACAGACAGGAATCAAAGCTTGTCTGCGCCTATACCAAATAGACGTACGGGCCTGCAACTAATCTTGCGGGATTCACCAAAGCTTGGCTGTGCCACCCCGAGACTCCGCCCCATCCAAATGGAATCCAGAAACCCTCCTAGCTGATACACTTCGGATCCTCATAGCCAATTGGCTTGGAGATCAATGCTTCCCAGTGATACCAACAACTAGCAAGGCTTAACAACAAGACTGCACACACAGCCCACAAAAGGCTACACCAAGACTGTCCACCTCAGGAAACTGGGAGGCTGACCTATTCAACCAAATAGGACACCTTAGCACACAGAGCTACCCTACCAACTCAGGGAAGCTGTGAAAATGCTGAGACAAGGAAACAGATCACAAACAAAAGAAATGGAGGACAAGAAGCGACTGGATATAGAGTTCAAAATGACACTTATAAGGTTTTTCAAGAATTTCCTAGAAAAGGCCGATAAAAAAAAAACACGAGACCTATGAGGATATGAAAAGGGATCAATTAGAAATAAAGAATACATTGTCTGAAATAAAAATATTATATAGAGTCCTAAAAATAGAATGGAAGATCACAAGAATCAAGTCAAAGATTTGGAACACAAAGAGCTAGAGGACATTCCTCTGCAGAAGCAAGAAGATAAAAGAATCCAGAAAGCTGAAGATAATGTAAGAAACCTCTGGGACAATTTCAAATGAACCAACATCAGAATTATGGAGATCCCAGAAGAAGAGAGAGAGCAAGATACTGAAAACATACTGGAAGAAATAGTGACAAAAAACTTTCCCCACCTGGGGAAAGAAATAGACTTACAGAACCCCAAACAAAAGGAATCCAAAGAGGAGTACACCAAGACACATCATAATTAAAATTCCAAGAGCAAAAAAAAGAGAATATTAAAAGCAGCAAGAGAAAAGCAGGTCGTTACCTATAAAGGAGCACCCATATGATTGTCAGCGGATTTCTCAACAGAAACCATGCAGGCCAGACGGGAATGGCAAGAAATATTCAAGGTGATGAATAACAAGAACCTACAGCCAAAAATACTCTACCCAGCGTAGCTATCACTCAGAATCGAAGGCCATATAAAGAGCTTCACAAATAAAAAAAAGCTAAAGGAGTTCATCACCTCCATACCAGAATTATATAATTGCTGAAAGGGGTTCTTTAGGAAGAAGAAGAAGATATAAATAAAAATTATAATCAACAAATATGTAACTATCAACAAGTAAAACTAAAAGCCACGGGAATTAAAAAAACCTGATGAACAATATTAACTGTTGAATATAATAGAATCAGAGGTATGGAAGGGGAGTGGACGGACGATTCTCGGGGAAAAGAGGAGTGGGGGGTGCGGGAAGAACCTGAACAAAAATTGTGCACCTATGGATGAGGACAATGAGGGGTGGGGAAAGAGCAGAGGGTGAGGTGGGAACCTGGTGGAGGGGGGCAATGGAGGGGAGAAAAATGAGGAACATTTGTAATATGAACAATAAAGATTTATTAAAAAAATAATAAAAATAAAAAACAGCACATATTGAGTATTGGACTAGTCCAGTGGTCGGGAAACTCGTTAGTCATCAGAGCCAAATATTAACACTACAAAGATTGAAATTTCTTTTGAGAGCCAAATTTTTTAAACTTAAACTATATAGGTAAGTACATTGTTATTAACTTAATTAGGGTGCTCCTTCAATCGCACTGTATGTTTGTGCCCACACGTGGTATTTTGTGGAAGAGCCACACTCAAGGGACAAAAGAGCCGCATGTGGCTCATGAGCCGCGGTTTGCCGACCACTGGACTAGCCCATTCATTGCTTCCACCCCTCCTACCAGTTTTAATGTGTTTCTTCTTCTCTATTTGTAAGACTTTCATTCCGCCATCTTTCAGGCAGTTCTGAATGATGGTTTTTCTGTATTTTAATTGTAATTTTGATGTGGTTGTAAAGGCAGCAAGTATAGGCATTTACCTATGCTGCTATCTTACTTCCTCTCGAAGGAGATTTTAAATAAACATTAATATTTTGTTTGGAATTAAAATTCTTTGCCAAAACCCAGATTCAGATTTAAGGTAAATGTAAAATGGTTGACAAATTTGTTGCAGTGGAGTGAAATTTAAGAAGATGATTTGTCTTGGCTGTATAGTTCATTTGGTTAGAGTGTCATCCCAATACATCAAGATTGTAGGTTCGATTCCTGGCTAGGACACATACAAGAATGAACCAAGAAACCAATAAGTGGAACAACAAATTGACGTTTCTCTCTCTATCCCTCTCTCACCCACTCTCTCTCCCTCTGTCTCTCCCTTTCTCATATCCTTCCTTTTTCTCTTTCTAAAAATCAATAAAAGGAAAAGAGGGAAAATGATTTATTCAATTTATTAAGTGATTATTACCATTTAAACATAGCCCTGGCCACGTTTTCTCAGTGTTGGCCCAGGGACTGAAGGGTCTCAGGTTGGATTCCTGTTCAAGGACATATCCCTCTTTTGCAGGTTCAGTTGAAAATATATCCTCTGGTGAGGATTAAAAAAGTAAAAAATAAATAAAAATAGAGCTGATACCTATGAGTAGTGCATAGTACATATTAAGTAATTAGCACTGCTTTCTCTTCAGTAGAAAAGAATCTGAGAACACATGATTTAAGGATTTTGAAATCTTTTCCTAGGAAGATCATAAAATTGAAAAAATATGGAATTGTTTTCAGCTTTTTCTATTTGAAAAAAATATGGAATTGTTTTCAGCTTTCTATGCTTTTTTTTTTTTTCAATTTTACAGAAATTAGGATATTTTTCTGGTGTAGTTTTGAGAGGTTTTAATTAAAAAAATGTTGATCTCCCAATTCAACATTATAATTTCACTGCAGGGTAAATAAAGAAGAAAACCGAGAAGGAGCAAAGCATTGATTACAAATGTCTTAATAATGAACAAATGCGGCAGGAAAAAATATATTAAGACAAATTTAAGGTAGGTGTTATACATACATTTGTTTTTTTGTTTTGAAAATATTACTTAGAGCGTTTAAAGTTAAAATGTATAAGTTAATGTAGATAAGTACACATACATAAATATACATGTATATGTATTATAATTCTATATAATAAAGATGTAATATGCAAATGGTTGTTACGTTGTGAAGTGTAATAACTGACTGCATAATGACTGGATCAGCAGGATGGTGGGGCAGTGAGCTACAGGTGGGTGGTGGAGAGCTACAGGAAGGTGGGGGAGAGAGTGACTGGCTACAAGCAGGCAGCAGAGAGTTCCAGGAGGGGTCAGGGCAGCAAGCTATGGGGGGGGCAGGGGCTGAGGGAGCTACAGGAGGGCGGGGCAGGGAGGGCAGCAGCAAGCTACTGACTACAAGCTGGCAGTGGAGAGCTATAGGAGGGGGCAGGGCAGCAAGCAATGAGGGGGAATGGGGGCAGCAGGGTGCTGTAGGAGGGTGGGGCAGTGGGCAGAGAGCTACTGGTGCATGGATTCATGTGCAGGGCTACTAGTAAGATATAACCGTATGCATCCATATTTTTTAAAATATATTTTATTGATTTTACACAGAGAGGAAGGGAGAGGAATAGAGAGCTAGAAACGTCGATGAGAGAGAAACATCGACCAGCTGCCTCCTGCACACCCCCTACTGGGGATGTGCCCGCAACCAATGTACACGCCCTTGACTGGAATCGAAGCTGGGACCTTTCAGTCCGCAGACCGACGCTCTATCCACTGAGCAAAACCGGCATATGCATCCATATTATTCAGCCATTCAACTAAGGAATTCATCTTCAACTATATACTCTATTGGATTCTGTAGGGAGTAAGTGGACATGCACATTTAGTTTATTCTAAATGCTGGTCTTTCTCCTTAGGAAGGAGACCATCTATAAGGAAGTAGACAGAGTTTTCCTTTCCCTCCCTCCTTGCTCAAGTCTCTACCAATATTTTACAGAAACCCAATTAGAATTTTTCAACTTTTATTTTGGTTACTTTCAGAGAAATTTTGGTTTATCAGTTGGATCTAGTTTTAAAAAGAAGATAAATTTTCTATGACTTTTTTTGTAAAACAATTTAGAAATAGAGAATAGAGACAACTTATTATCATTACTTTTTTATAAAAAATATATTTTACTGATTTTTTACAGAGAGGAAGGGAGAAGGAAAGGTAGAAACATCGATGAGAGAGAAACATCTATCAGCTGCCTCTTGCACACCCCCAACTGGGGATGTGCCCACAACCAGGGTACATGCCCTTGACCAGAATCGAACCTGAGACTTTTCAGTCCGCAGGCCGATGCTCTATCCACTGAGCCAAACCGGTTTGAGCATTATTATTACTTTTTAATCCTTACCCAAGGATATTTTCTCCATTGATTTTTAGAGAGAAGGGAAGTGCCTCCTGTACGTGCCCTTACCAGCGTGAACTGGCAACAGAGATGTGTGCCCTTGCCCTGGAATTGAACCCACAACCCTTGGTCTAACACTGAGAAATCTGGCCAGGGCTAGAAACAATACTTTTTCTTTTCCAGCTGGGTTCTGTTTTTAAAAGAGGTGAAAATTTTTTTACCAGGGTAATTTGTCTTTGCAACGTTAGATACAACTAAGATTTTACAAGTTTATTAGTTAATTGAACATTTTAATTATAACTAGGAAACTGCCTTTGACTTATTTTCATTCAGATGTTTCCTTTTCCTTTCTTTATTTCTATCTTCTCTTTTAAGAACACTTTCCTAGGTAACTACAATAGCATTTCTTTAAAATGCTTTTTCTTTTTCTTCTCATTTTGTCTCCTACTTACATGGCTTGTGTGTTCTTTTTTTATTTTTAAAAATTTCTTTATTGATTAAGTTATCACATATTTGTCCTCAACCCCCCATTCCAAGCCCCCACTCCCCCCCACTCATGCCCCCATCCCCCTATTGTCCTTGACCACTGGTTAGGCTCATGTGCACATAAGTCCTTTGGTTCTCTCTCCCTTTTATCCCCACCCTCCCTTTGAGGTCCAACAGTCTGACCCATGGCTCCTTATCTCTGGGTCTGTTCTTGTTCATCAGTCTATGCTGTTCACCAGGCTTGTGTGTTCTTGATACATACCATGCTTCCTCGAAAATAAGACCTACTTACAGGTTTCCTTCTGAGTGAAATATAAGGCATCCCCCGAAAATAAGGCTCTGTTTCAGATTGCTATTGCTAAACATGAGAGATTTGATCCACTGATTCTGAAAGAAATGGAGTCACAAGAAATTCACCAGGAAATTCAGGAATTGGATTGTTATGATGATATTCCAGAAGATGATGACATGATTGTCATTGAATAAATGAGTAAATTCTTGATACTGTAGGATTCAGTTTGTCTGGTTTGTGTTGACAACTACCGTACTGCCGTACCGTATACAGGTAATAAATTTCCTTTATTTTCATTTAACAATAAATGTGTACCGTATATTTCTTCATGGAAAAATAAGACATCCCCTGAAAATAAGACCTAGCGCATCTTTGGGAGCAAAAATTAATATAAGACACTGTCTTATTTTCGGGGAAACAGGGTATGTATGCCTAAATAACTTTGGTCATAATTATCTTGGCATTTCTATAATTGTAAATGTAGTTTTATGAATATATTTCTTTGTATTTATTTCTTGAAAGTTTGTTACTGGTTGTCTATCTATTGTTTATGTTGTACTGTATAAGCAGTACAATTCTGTTGTATTTTGGTGTTTGGGGGAGTAATTGCAGTATGATGTAGATGTACTATTAATGTCCCAGAAAATAACAGAGAAAGCAAACAAACACAGTTCTACACCCCCTCCCCCCAAATAAAATAGCTAATCTGAGATGTCTTTAAAAAATGTGCTAATGGATGAATCCTATTTGTTTAAAACAATAAGTATGTTAATATTTTGTTAAACTGAATTCCAGTATATTCAGAACATAATGAGATAAGATTCACTTTTCTATCAAAAGAAAATGGTTTGCTAAATAATAAAAAGAAGACTTCATGTGAAATATTTAATCTTTATAAGAATATGCTACTACTGTTAATTATAAGTGTAAATATACCCACTTTAGCAAATCCTTATCTGTTCTTTAGAATTGTGGAATATTTTCCAGTGTTTTGTTTGCTTTTAGTTTATAATTGACTTTGTTTGTTTTAGTTTATTATTATTTCATCTTATAATTTGTAGTTACTAATTGGTGTTTTCTCTCTAATAAGAATTATCATTTAAGATTAAAACATTGCATAATTAATTGACATATTATTCTATTAATTTTTTAGTACACTATATTTATTTAATATTTGATTATTGCAGAAAGTGATATTTTGAAGGAAGTATTCTATGTTTCTTCAATTTTACCATAAAATGTATAGTAATCAATGCAGGAGTATAATGGATCTTTCTCATATTTATAAATAAATTCTAACTGAACCAGCTGAGGCTAATTTACAGATGTTAGTATTATGTGTACTTATTTACAGCAAGGTTTTACATAGTAGGTGAGCTCAGTAATTTGAGAGAAGAAACTTATAATAGTTGTAAAGAATGGGCGAGCCGAAGCTAGTTTGGCTCAGTGGATAGAGCATTGACCTGTAGACTGAAAGGTCCCAGGTTCGATTCCGGTCAAGAGCATGTACCTTGATTGTGGGCACAGTAGGAGGTGTGCAGAAAGCAACTGATGGATGTTTCTCTCTCATCGATGTTTCTAACTCTCTATTCCTCTCTGTAAAAAATCAGTAAAATATATTAAAAAAAGAAAATAATGGGAGAGTAAGTTTGCTAGGAAAAGAATAAAATTACTGCCCATTTGAATTTAATAACTTTAATACTGGTGAAGGAATGGAAGAGACAGAATTGATTTTGTCTGAGTTGGCATTTATTAAACATATACAATAAAAGGATTTTAAATATTTTCTCTTTTCCGAATCCAGCCCAGCTCGAGTGGTCAAGTTCCTGAGTAGGAGTGGCTGGGGATTGAGAAAAATGAAAGAAAGAGACAGACACAGAGATAGAAGGAAAAAGCTGGGCCGGGTGGGATAGCTGTCCTCTTCTGGATAGACAGTGACCCAGAGCCCATAAAGCATATTTATTTTATACAGCAAAATACCAGGAAGTTTTGCCGAAACTGGTTTGGCTCAGTGGTAGAGCGTCGGTCTGCGGACTGAAAGGTCCCAGGTTCGATTCTGGTCAAGGGCATGTACATTGGTTGTGGGCACATCCCCGGTAGGGGGTGTGCAAGAGGCAGCTGGTCGATGTTTCTCTCTCATCGACGTTTCTAGCTCTCTATCCCTCTCTCTTCCACTCTGTAAAACATCAATAAAATATATTTAAAAAAAAAAATACCAGGAAGTTTTACTAAAGCCCAAGACAAAGGAGATTAAGTGCATTCTTGTGGCTTCTTTGTAATCATCACTTCTGGGTGGGCTGGGATAATCTTGTTTGTTCCGGGTACTTGGCTGGATTTAGATAATGAAACCCACCCCCAGAAAGTCAGGTTGACAACACAGCTGTCTCTGACTAGGTATGTTTCCAGAGCATAGCTCTGCCCGGCACTGCTGTATTCAGGGGCCTTTCCCAGGTGCTCTCTATAAAGGATATTGGGAAATAGTAGTTAAAATTAGAAACCATGGATTCTGAACTGAATCGGGTGGGATGAGAAGATATGGGTAGGCTGTGGGAAAGGGAGAAAGTGGTCTGGAGCTCTCAGTGTAGTTGAGTAACAGGAGTGGTAGGAGTTATCGAGGGAGAATGTAAGATGGGAGAATAGAATGTCAGAAATAATTTTTCAGAGATGGAGCAGTTTTGAACACAGTAAAGATTCAATGTATGGCTAGCCACTCAAGTAGGTATTTGAAGTGGAGTGAGAAAGTCATTGAACTGAGGCATCAGGGTGAGAGGGATGGGTTCTTCCCTTTGTGTTGAACAAAACACAGACTGATGGAATGGAAGGCTCTTGAGGCAGGTGCCAAAGTCTCTATT